CCCCCTCTCTCTCCCCCTCTCTCTCCCCCCTAGCCCTTGTGGTGACTGAGAAAAATATTCTAAAGCCTTAAAATATCTCAGTAACTCACTAGTATTTCATTCTGCTTTGGCATATAATTCGCTGTCATTATGTTAGCTATATGCAAAGATACTTCGTAACACATATAGGGAGACCTGATATTAAATTTGGCGACAACGCGGGCGACTAAATTTTTTTAAAATTTCAACCCCTGCATCCATTCCTAAACCTAGCCAAAGTGTTCAGCAAAATATTATCCAGCGCTTACTTTTTCTTGCGTCTGACTTTCTTTGGCCAAAACCATCGCAAGAAGCTAAAAATAATAAACAAAACTTTTCAGTTGTTAAAATTAGCCTGTGTGGAGAAGGCGCTGTGGGTGGGGTGCCGGGGGAAAGGGGGTCACAAGGAGGTAATACCGTAAGTGACTTATCTCGATATTTAAAGTCAACAATTTGACAATTCATTTGTTTTTGTGGAAACATCTTTTAAGCTCAGAAAAAGAGATATACCTAGTGTTCTCAAAAATGTATATTTATCAGCATGCGTACCTACAAGGAACAATTTTAGTTTAAATCATTAACTTGCAATTTTCATCACAGAAAATCTGTTTCCGTGAAGTCAAAGCAAGTGTGATGGAACAATATAGTATTCACACATTTTAGACGTTACTCTCCTTAAAACAAAATGTACTTTCGCACTCACTTCATTTTCATCACCACGGCCGGTGAGTACAACTTACCAATAAAGTTCTTGCATTAGTACCAAGACATTTGTGCGCGTTTTTGGCGACAACCAATGCCTCCTTGTGTCTATTACTACTCAGATAACACTCAATTAAACCTAGTATAAAAACAAAACATATTTGAGAATAATTTTCACCTATGTTAGGAGCAATTACCTCACACATACAACGTTTTCAAAAACATGTATGGATCCAGCTTGACCTAGTAAAGGGGGGGGGGGGTGGAAGGTGCTGAGCGGGCCCCGGTTATTCCCCACCGCTCTTGGCAGACCCTCAACCCTAGTCTGCTACATAGATGCACCTACCTTTGTTCCCGTCGTAATTGAAAGGAGAAAGTCTGATGACTTCACGATAATGATCTATCGCTTCACTTTTACGTTTCACTGATGAGAGCAGAGAACCTTTTGTAAGTAAAGCCTGAATATTTAGATTGTCCATGTTGTGCGCCTAAAACAAGTAAAATTTATTTCATACTAGCTTTTCAAATTATTCGATTAAAGGCAGACCTCACAACCTGTACAATTAAATTACACTCTTTTAGGCTTTTTATAAAGCACACTGCTAAATTTGAACACACATTTTGACGTGAGACCTACCTTGCACCCTCGCTAAAATGGTACGTCTTGCATTTTAACCGGGCTATAAGGATTGCCGAAAACAGGCGTACCAGTTTACAGCTACAATTACAAACCGTGGTTATAAGATACGCCGAAAACAGGTGTACTTTATAACAGGAAACCGTGGCTATAAGGTTTGAAAAAAACCTGCGTACTTTATACCCACAAACCGTTCGTGGCTATAATAATGGATGCCGAAAACAGGCGTACTTTATAGCCACAAATCATGACTATAAGGTATGCCGAAAACAGACGTATTTTATAGCCACAAGCCGTTTGTGGCTACAAGGTATGCCGAAAACAAGCGTATTTTATATAGCCACAAATAATAGACATAAGGTACGCCGAAAACAGGCATACTGCATAAATCACGGTTATTAGGCTTAAGGCCATGTTACACGGTGCAGTTTTTCTTGCAACTTGCAATGCAATTCTATACTCTTGAGAGATGTAAAATTGTCAAATATGAGTCTCCATTACACTCCGCTGATGTTTTCTCAACATATCGAAAATTCTTCACTGATTTCGCTAATTAACATCTCTCAAGAGTAGAAATGTAGAATTGCATTGCAAGTTGCAAGAAAAATTGCACGGTGTAACATGGCCTTTAGGGTGAAGATCAGTGGTTCGGATAAAGACTGAATGTAACGATAGGTGAATAGTTTATGGTATGAAATCGCTCTTAGCCAAATTTATAAGTAATTAGAGTTAAATTGAATCTACGTGGGCCATTTACCTTTTGTGAGAAGTATATTGCTCTCGTCTTTTTGTTGGCGACAGATGAAGAATGCGCCATAGCAATCCAGGATTCTGGGCGGTCTTCACTGATTCCAATAAGATCTTCAGCCAAACTAAAATAATAACACATCCATGATATTCAGAACCACAGCAAGCCTTTGTGGATGGGGCGGCTGCCAAAATCATTAAGGAGGGGGTGGGCAAGCTTCAGTTAGCCAGAAGGGCGTCCAGGCGTCCTGGAACGCCCCTAGAACGAAAAATGGACGCCTTTGGACGCCCAAATTCTGGGAGAAAAGTGAAATTATTTTCAATTATTTCCCTAAGTATATTTAATATATCTGAAACGAAATAGCTTCAATTCTCATTATTATTCAATCTCGTTCCCCGAGCCTGCGATCCTCAGGAAGGAACGCGAGGCTCTGGGATAATCCGTTTCAGGGAGGAATCTGATTGGCCGTTGAAATGGAATGCGTAGTTCAATCTTAGCCAGAATTCCTGGCTCCCGGCAACGGATTATCCCAGAGCCTCGCGTTCCTTCCCGAGGATCGCAGGCTCGGGGACGAGATTGATTATTATTATACATTTGACATTTTGATCAATTTGATGGTGTACCTGGCTGAATGAAAATGTCATAATTAAATAAAGAAGCATGGCGGCACAAACTCACAAAGCCAAGTGTGTTTGAAAAATTTCGAACAAGCTTGGAACAGATGCTGACATGAAGTAACGTAAACTTCAAAGGTTTTCCAGAGGAACGTTTTCTCGACCCCTTTACTGTGGATGTTTCGTTTTACCAAAATTGGAAGCCCTCTTTTAGGACCCTGGTTAAAAGCCTGTGGGCGGGGTATTTAATTCACTCAAATGTTAATCCCTGAAAATTTAGCGTCACTGAAACGTTCTGACTAATATTTTGTACACACTTTCAAACAAAATATACTCTGTCAACTAGTTACTAGTATATGTTATGTTATTCGGTAGATTGCAGGGAGCCCGGCTATGCGATCTCCATACAGTTCTGCCGAAATCAAAGCAGTCAGTATAGAAACACGCGAGACGAGTGATGTGCATACAGTTATATCAAAGCAGTCAGTGTAGAAACATGAGAGGCGAATGACGTGCATACAGTTGTATCAAAGCAGTCAGTGTAGAAGAAACAAGTGAGGCGAGTGACGTGCATACAGTTCTATCAAAGCAGTCAGTGCAGAAACATGAAAGGAGAATGATGTGCAGATAGATTACAGTTATATGAAAGCAAGTCAGTGTAGAAACATGATAGGCGAATGATGTGCATACCTTTATAACAAAGCAGTCAGTGTAGAAACAAATATGCAAATTCTAAACCTTCTGTTGACAATACATAAAGTATCGGGTTTCTACTAATAATGGTTCTTTTAGGTATATAGGTATATCTACAGGGAGCCCATCCCAAGTCTTATTGAAAGCAAATATTGAATGTACATATAGTATTTATATAGCTCAGTGCTAAATATTAGGGCGCGCGCCCTAATATTTAGCACTGAGCTATATAAATACTATATGTACATTCAATATTTGCTTTCAATAAGACCCGGGATGGGCTCCCTGTGGTATATCCAATCAGAAACCCCTGTACGAACCAAAGGTCGTGCGCTTTTGTCACAAGACTTGAAATATTTCATTTCAGTCTTTTCAGATCAAATTCTTGTCGGGACAAGACGCTCTACATACGTGGCAATAAAACGATTTTACAAGGAAGTGATATACGTCTGTTGTTTCAAACCATTCTTTCAGTTAAAGATTTGAGATGAAATACCAACACAAATCTACGTGATATCTATATGGACTATATGGTTGTTTATACGACGAGGTTTTTACTACAAGCTGGCTGAAATGAAACAACTGACTACATTGATATAACCTGTATGGAGTTTCACTCGCGCGTGTTTCTCCACTGACCGCTCCCACGGTGGTCAGGCATATTTTTCAAGCTCGCCCGGTGGGATATACCAGTGGGAACTCAGCTGTGACCATTGAACTATAAATAAACTGGAAGGCTAACTGCTATGATGAAGGCATATGATTTGATGAAGCCAAAATAGTTTTTCTGAGTTATGAGCAGAAATACTTGACCCCAAACTTCGGGCTATATATCAAATTGAAGCTATTGAAAATTGCTATTCGGTGTGGAAGTTTCAAGACTTCAGCGAAAAGAAAAATATTTAAAAAATACAAAAACAACTGCAAAACGGCACATTATCGGTAATTATGTTTGTAGTTTTTCAATATATTCCTTTTAGCTAAAGTCTTGAAATTTCTACACCAAATAGCGTTTTTCAATAGCTTCAATTTGATATATAGCCCAACGTTCATTGTTGAGTATTTCTGCTCATAACTCAGGAAAACTAAAATGCACTGACTTCAATCCCCCCCCCTGAGTTAGCCTTCCAGTTTATTTATAGTTCAATGCCTGTGACTCAGAGTAACATCGCAATGATCAACTGTATAGAGATTATGCATGGTTTTATCGGTCACAGACGGCTGCTTGGGTATAACTCTATCATATCATGCAGTGTTGATATAATAGGCCATGACTTGTCACATTTGCATTTTAAGTAACACTGCTGAATAACTTATTTTGAAATTAACACTACATCAAACAACCAATCGAAATCTACCATGACTAGACATCATGTCGATTTATTTGTTCAAAAAATGCAGCTGCGTTTCGTTTGTTGTAAAAGAAGTTGTTATTGTCGACGCTTTGAATACGTGGCAGAATTTGGATCTTACATACGCTTGAATCTCTGTCTGACTGTCGTTTTGCTCATTTAATTTAACTTTTAAAGAGAATGTTCACTAAATATTTTCCAGGAGTAAAATAAAGGTACAAAACTGTCTATTTGGACGAGTTTTATACAGTAAAGTATCGCTAGTATTAAGTAGAATTTGCTTTATTTTTACTTTAGGAGAACAGCGAGTAAATATGGCATCAAATTATCAACTTGGATATGATGACGAAAGATTCGAGTCGATAGTAGACCAAAATTTCCACTGTCTAATTTGCTATAACGTATTTAAAGACCCGGTGATGTGCCGCAGAAACCAGCACTATTTCTGTCACGGCTGCATCACGGAACATCTTCGTACGAATTCCCATACATGCCCAACATGCGCTGACGAGCTGAGTGTCGAAACGTTGGCTGAAGTCCCAAGAATTGTGAAGAATTACTTGGATGAACGAAAAATTCGTTGCGATTATTACGACAGAGGATGTCGAGAACTCGTACAACTGCAGAATTTAAAGCGACATGTCACCGAATGCGGGTTTACCCCAGTCGTTTGTGGAAATCAAGGTTGTGGTGAAACAATCAGTAAAAGAGATCGTACATATCACGAGAGTGAACTGTGTCAATTTAGAAAGTTGAAGTGCCACAACTGTGGAAAAATCAGCACGATGATGGCGGAAATGAAAACGGAAATCGCAAACGTCGACACGAAAATCAGCACGAAAATGGCACACACGGACACGAAACTGAAAAACATGGACACGAAAATAACAAACATCGACACAAAACTGGAAAACATGGACGCAAAGCTGGTAAATATTAACATCGGAATGAAAAATACGAACACGAAAATGACAAACAACGACAAGAAACAAGAAAACATGAACACGAAACTGGCAAACTTGCAAGCGAACGTGGAAGCGAAGTTCGAAGCGATGAATAACGAAGTGAGAGGAATGAAAGTGAGTTTAAATGAAGTAAAAGATGGTTTTGATCACTTGAAAGAAGCAGTACTTGAGAAGATAGAGAACAAAGAAAGAAAGCAGGAGGAAATCACAAGAGATGTAAGTGGCACAGCGAGTGGTGGGAGAGAAAATCAACATATATTTGTTGCTGGTGGTTTGGGGAGAATCTCGGTAGAAATATTTAACTACCGTCAGAGATTGTGGTCTTTATTAAAGCCCATGCCAGGGAATCGTGGCGAAGCGTCTTCATTTGTTTACAATAATCATGTGACTGTAGCGGGAGGTTGGCGTCCTGGTGCTGCTGTAGATAACATGATCCGAATGAACATTCACCCACTCCCCGATCTCTCAATTAACTGGAGTGATTTTGCAGCCAAACTTCCTGCTAGGATGTGGAGACACAGCAGTGTGGTGTACAAGGATAGCTTGTTGGTTACTGGAGGTCGTAATGCAGGTCAACATGTCCTCTCTGACTGTATTCACGAAGTACAACTTAAACCACCTTACACTGTTCAACTGGTATCCAAGATGCCTGAACCAAGACTTTGTCACAACACAGTACTATGTGATGATAGTATTTTGATCGTTGGGGGAAGGAAATCAGAGTACTGCAAAGACAACCTCAGCAGTGTGTTACGCTATGACATCAAGAAGAATGAATGTCAACAGTTACCTGCGCTTCCCTATCCAGTGTGTGAAATGGCGACAGTCAAGTGGGCTGAGAATGTCGTGATCATTGGTGGGGCTGACAAGGATGACAAACCATTAAACAATGTTATAATTTATAACATGAAGACTGGAAACAGTCATATGTTGCCTCCCATGTTACACAAGAGGAAAGGATGTATGGCAGTTGTTATTGAGAATACAATTGTAGTACTAGGAGGGATGGATGAGAGAGGGAATTGTTTGAAATCAGTTGAAGGTTTCAATTTTGAGCGATTTTCATGGCAGGAACTTCCTGACATGAAGGAAGTCAGACTGTTTGGTACAGCTGTTGTGATCTAGAAATACTAGTATATATTATGTAGAATGGTATGTGACTTATATCTCAAAACTTTAGTATATTTTATCATCAATTAAAGAACTACCTTACCAGAAGCGCTAGAATGTTGTAATCTAGACATCATTGGATAAAGCTTCATGTCTATATACAGATTAAGATTGTGTTTATCTGAGTAAGCAATCTCCGATTATTTCAGTAGAGAAACCTCATCTTGCTATAATAGAAACCTCTCTACTAACTTTCTGACAAAAGGCTTCGTTCGAAATGTCAAAGTTTGCAATGTGTAACTAAGGCCTGTTTCAAACGTCGTGCTTCTCATGTGCCGAACGCATTAGAAACAATATATAGATGAGGCATCTCAGCTGATTATCTATTGTTTTTAATGCGTTCGGTACATGAGAAGCGCGACGTTTGAAACAGGCTTAAGATATATTCGATTGATTGGCTTGCACATGTACGTAAAATGTGAGCAAGTATATCAAAATACAAGAGGAGAGAGCCTGGACATGTGGCTGACATCGAGCTATTAAGCATACGCGGTATTTTAGTTTAAAATGAAGAAAAGATTCCGGCAAATAATTTTTACACCAGACTTTTTTTTTACATTTGTTTATACAATTTTAAAGAACTTTAAATAATAATACACGGAATATGTAAGATAAGTATATACCATGGTGACCTTTACCACTACCGCTACCATCAAGGGACCATTAACCAGATAAGATAAGATAAGATAAAGATTTATTAGCCACCAGTACCATTTACAATATTTCAGATTTCTAATATACTGTTCCTGTTTATATAATGGTAATTTATGTTGTTATATTTACAGTGGTTATATTAGTGGCAAGGAGTTATCCAGAAACCATAAGGCTTATAAATTGGCGGATATCTCCTTGAAGCTTTTCAAAGTATATATATCAAAAGTATTTTGTTAAAACAATTGCGACAGCTAGTGAACGCAGTTATATGGCTTAACATTGAAGTAAATATTTTCGTATTCTATTCCTGAAGCAATTTAACGTCCCTGCATTCTTAACGGTGTCAGGGAGCGAATTCCACAGTTTTGGACCTCGTGAAAGCATAGTAAATTGTTTTATATTAGTTCTACATGCATGTGAACGATATGTGTCAGCGTTTCTAGTATTATAATTATGAAACTGGTTGCTGGTGCTAAATAAGTTAAGAAAGGGGGGGTGGAAGTAATTTGTTATGGTAGGAATACATGAATATACCTGTACAAAAGGAATTAATCCTATTGATATCAAGTATTTTCAATTTTTTAAAAAGCGGAGCAGTATGAGCCAAAAAGCTCGAACTAGTCAATAATCTAACTATTCGCTTTTGTAGAATTTGTAACCGTTTTAAGTTAGAAACATATGTAGACGACCATATTGTGTTGCAGTAGATAAGATATGGATAGATTGATTTAATGATTTAATAATGTTCGACAACTACTAAATTTAAATTTTAACAATGTAGTGCCAGGATACTCGCCACAGTGTCCCCAATTACGGCGAGTCCTTAATAATTACATCTAAATCACGTTAATATTAGTATTGAATAATCTAATAACAGACAACTGACATTACCGAACAAAACATAACATACAACAAAACATAACATACATGCAACTAGCAACATCTTAAAACACCGTCCAGGGACCTCGCCCTTCTACATTTAACACATATCGACTTCCATGTGCGTGGATCGTCACAATTGTATATTTTGGATAGCGCGTGTTCGTAATATGTCTTAAGTTTTGATTTAAAGGTATTCAGACCAATATCTCTGTGACGAAGATCACAGCCCAAAATGTTCCATGTTTTACATGCTCTAATGAAATAAGAAGTCTGGAAGGTCACCGTACTGGCAAATGGTATTGAAAATTTATATACGTTCTCATTTGTTTCGCTCCTCGTTATTCCAGAACCAGCCATTGTTGGTCGAGCACTGTCATCGAT